TGGCAATACAAAGCTTGACAGTCCTGTTTATTCCCAGCTAGGGCAAACGCCATCCTAATGTTGTGTCAATGGCTCAGTCAACGTCATTTGAAAAGAATTTGTCTTTAGAGCCATTAAAAGTAGTAAGTGTGGTTTAATATAGCCCACTGTTAAAGGTCTTTGTCTTTAAATTTAAAAAAGGAAAATAAATGAAAATAGTCAAAAAAGGAGCTTTTGAATTTGTTGACTTAACCAAACTCCGGGGTTGATGTCGCCTAAAGTCAAGGCAGCATTGGGGAAAATCTACTCTCGTCACATTAACAGGCTAACTAAGATAAAAAATGATCTAGAAAATGAGGCATTTCCCGATTCGAGTAAGAGAAGACTCAGCAATGGGTAAACAATGGGCTCAGTGTTGTGAGCAGAAATTTACGGCAAAGTGCCATCTCTGGAAAGCAAACTTTAAAGAAAAAAGAATAGGTCCATACTAAAAAAGTGCACTGATTAAAAAAGACTTATTAAGCGGTGGGAAAATTGCAGGGTGATTTAACTTTACAGTGCCAAAACGCTGTTATTGAATTTGTTGTTTAATTGCGTCCCAGGAATCGAGCAATCACTTCAAAACACATTTTCGGATAGCTTTTTTCTACATGTCTACTTTAGCGCTACATGCGCATGCTTTTTCAGTGGGCTGGAAAGCATTGATCATTAACGTCTTCATAAAGTAAGCGTTTATCAAATTAGTCTTTTCTAAGGACGGACAACTCGAAACATCCTTGCTTGTTAAACCACAAAGGCCTAAATTACCAGCCACGTGGTGAGGTAGCATAAAAGAAAAATTTACTTACACGGTAGCCCAGTTACTGTAATGGCTAGAAGGAATGTGTCAGACTTCTTCTTCGCTCAACACAGCCACATCTCGACAAATCCTTTACAGCGAGCAATCCTTTCGCACTTTTCATTGGCTGGAGGGTGTGTGACCTTGGTTGGACTTGTCCACAAATAGCGTGCAAGTGCCACCCATTGGACCAATAAGAAGCACGGAGTGAGCAACACAGAGTTGGTGCCTGCCCAACAGGTACAAAGCAACACAATAATTTGAGATGGATAGTTATTGCTAAAGTAGACTAGAATCCTGAAGGATTACCCTTTAAAAAGATGCAGAATTCTTATGTTGCAAGTCAATAATGTTTCCTTGCCACCTTTCAGGCATGTGTTTAATTTGAGAGGCAATGAACTAGCGCCTTCCAATGCATAGCTTTAGAGTTTTGAGATTATGGTCAGTTCATTTAGAGTGGATAACACTAGTGCGTTCGGCCTTCCTGGATCGAGGTCTGGAGACAGGAGTCCAAAAGATGCTTCAATCGACCTGGTCAAAGGCATTGTGGCAAACTCTTTCCGAACTTGAGGATTGTCCGTGATACTTGATTGCGAAAACACTACAAGATGGAGTGATCAAACACAACAGTATGTAAGACCAAAAGAATTTCTAAGCCAGAGCATGAGTTTTGCCCCACCTTCCCTTCCCCTTCAGGCCATGCTTTACTTCAAGCAAACTCAAATCATATTCACCTGTAAGAAAATAACAGGAAAATGTCTTGTAAGTAAGGCAATTTTTATGGCATATGATCCTCGGCCCTTTTTACATTTTGTTGGTTGAATTACATGTCTTCTAGTGGCTTTGAAAGAAGCATTGATACCACAATATTACAGTTGTGGATAATTCCGCAATCCACGCCTTTGACTCCAAAACTCTGCTATTCCACTTCAGTGAGGTGCCTTCTTTCACCGCTTTCCCTTAAACAAAGCGATCACAACTAACGTTGCATTGCCGACGAAGCGAAAATCAATCGATCGGTGTCGGTGCTCACCGCCCGCCGACGCGCCACCTTCAGGGGTCAGAAGTTCAGGCAACGGCAAAACCTCCTCCCTCATTTGCCCAGATGAAAAACAATGCATAAAAGGAACTGTTGAAGTGCAGAATCCTAATTATAACTTGCTGACCAGATTGAGTACATTTTATGGATTCCATTGTAAAGAAATTTGACTATGCTGTTGTTTTTTGCTAATCTTATACTGATTATGTAATCTGCGAGATGAACCTGAGTACGCATACGACTACGATAAGCAGATGAAGAAGTTATTTTATTCTATGAGGATGATTAAATCGTGGCAGTACGAAATTCAATTACACGCAGTGATCCGCTTGAATATTTTTGAAGCCACATACTGTTTGTTGTTGTTTGTAACTGGCACCGCATTGCAGTTGGAATTGTTTTGGCATTGCGGTGTCTGATTTTCATGTTGTCTGGCCCCGTCGGACGGGTGCGTAGGTGAAACCGAGTCAACCAGCAGCAAATCTGATATTTGCTTTTGAGGATACTTAGGGAGTCTCCGTCCCTTCATTTTACCAGCAGCAAAATTCATTCAAGAAAAGTGAGACAAACGTCTGCACAAATTGTTGAAACTAGTAAGAAGATAGACCTATTCTCACGAAATTGGGAGGCTTTTAAGACTAACAGATTGTAAAAGTAGGCACAATCTCCTACATCGTTTTGGAAACATTTGCATGATTTTAAGGAAATAATGAGACCCTTTAGTGAGGACTTTGATTGCTTGTGAATGGGGGGACTCCTTGGTGAAGGAGGCGTTGCAAATTAAAACTGAAATCTCACACATGGGAACATTCATTTCCTGAGTGACAGCAGAGAGATAATTGTCAAAGAATTGGACATTTCATTTAGACTAATATGGGCAATAATTATGAAAAAATATTAAGTTTACTAACTTCTAGTTACTTGCTAGGGGATGTGAAAGTCAAAGGTAAATTCCCTTCTACGCATAAATGAAAACAATCGGTTTGACACCTAAAAATCTGGATGCACCAGGGAAGGAATCTGCTATAAGGCGCAAATAAACGGTGGTCGGAGCCAATTGACAGTCAGATTTTTGGGGGTGTCTGTTAATTGCACAGCAATCGGGAAAGTGGCAAATAAATTTGACGTGATAGTGGGCAACTTGACTAGCGAGTGTACCTGTGCATCCCCCTCTATCCGCCCACTGTGGAAGTGAAATGGAGCTGCATCGCCTTTGCCTATGCAATATTATTTTGCTTGCGTGTACTTTGCAATATTCGCTGAAGTGAAATTGGAGGCAAAATTATGTCAAAACCAACCTAGAGCCCAAAAACGGGGTCGAGATGGAAACACAAAAATCCTTCTTTAACTCACTTTATATTGGCGCTACTTATAGCGGGAAGAGTAGTAAAGCACACCAGTCACTCATGCGAAAGGATAATCTCCCCGAATAGTACATTTTTTTAAAGATTGACACCCAAAGAGAGAGAGAGTAAGAGTTATGCTGCTGCCTTGGTAAGACATTACAATAATTTCGAGTACAGACGTTAGTCCATTTTAGTGGAGTTGGTAGGGTTTGGTCTCTGCCTTTTACCGCCATGAGCTCAAACAACAAATGAGCAGGAATGTATCTATCATAGAAATCTAGGTTTGGTTGTCTTTATTGCTACCTTTTTTGGACAGGGTATTGTGCTGTTTAGAGAGGCGTGTTCAGCTTTCCCACACACGAATCACTTAAAGGCGCGAACATGCGGATAATAATAAAATAATCATATAATTCCCAGCTTATTCTTCAGCATAACAAAATTAGAATTATTGAAGAAACCCAAAACCAATCTATGTTTTGGGTGTCAAAGAGCTTAACTCTTAGCAATTTTGCCGCATTCATTTGCAATGAGCTTATAAGAATTAAAGTTTCATCAAAAGACTGTCGGAATGCAGAGCGGTCATTTTGCCTCTCTCGAGCAAACCGGCCTTTTGAGCCGTGCTCCTCACTTCTTTTGTCTGAACATACGCATCCAAATCAAGTGCAACATCTATTCTTGCCTCTGTAAGGGAACCTCGGGGCAGATTACATCAGTAAAAGTAGAACCCAAACTCAACTTCTGACCCTTAATCTAGGAATTTGTAAAAAAATTTCTTCCTTATTTAAGGAAGGATCTAGGTTGTGGGTGAGAGGATCTCTATTCCCTACAAAAAAGTTCAGGCTAAAAATGGCATCAATTATCAACATCATCCTATTTCTCTAACTCTACAGTTAAGCTAACAGCAATGAAAGCGACATTTGTGGCTATCAATTTTGGAACGATTAGTTTCGGAACCCCTTCCATTGCACCGCCTACAGATTTGGAAATATAGCATCGCTCGAAGGCTAGAGTTGTGTTAACTCTTGTATTGCACTTTATGAATCGGTTTTTTACCAATGCTGTATAGCTTGTTAAAGAGCTGAACAAAATCATAGCCCCGTTTAAAGTAATTAAAGAATTAAGTGATGTTGAAGTCAAATCCTTCTTACTGATCGCATTAAAGTTAAATGCTTTTTCTATTGGTACTAAATGCAGTGCAATATTGGTGCGGGAGACTCATCAAAAAGAGTTGCGGATAGATTAGTCGGAAGGTAAGAGAAGCCATGCATGTAGCGTCTCGAAATTTCCCACAAGACACAATAAAGCCTGGTTGAGTGCTTGTATTCAGACAGAAGGGATAGAAGCGGCGCTAATGATGCAGTTAGAATGTCACTCCATCTAAAAAAAAGCGCAAAGTGAATGTCAAATGAATCGGCTACACGGGAAACCTAGTACCTCGGTCCAATTACCAGGTCTTAATCCAAGTACAAAGCCCGTTCTTGCCCCTATAAAGTAACATTAAGATGCGAAAGTCTTGTAAAATTCTCTTGGCATCTTTATATAAGTCACTTATTTAACGAAATGAAAGCACAAATACATCATCCCCTTTAATACTTATCAATAAAAGGCATCAAGCTACCACTAAGGTTGGTATTTTGTGCTTAAAATAGTTTTTGTGCAGTTTTTTTAAGCACACGGTGTTAAACATAACAGCAATAATTTTGTTTGTATAACTGTTCCACACTAGATGACCTTCGTTGCTCCGGTAAAAGATGATACCGCTTTATTCAAGTATTATTTCGGATAATATACAGGCTTAATGGCCACTTTTGGCAAACGTCAATGCAAATTTCAAATACCCAGCTGGTTTTTAAAGAACGACTCAATGACTGCATGTGCGACTTGGCATCGTGAAGCATCAGAAATCACTCGTCATGATGCTTTAACTACACTTTATGGTTGTCAACTGCGAACACAATGGGATAAACTTAGAAGTGAAACGGCACTCTCCGAGAGGTTGGATTCATTAAATACAGCTTTACGCCTTCTTGAACGTGGTGAAGCTGTACTAGAAAGAGGCATTTTCAACCTAAACGATGCCAAGGATTCAATGGAGAAGCAGCTTAAAGAGATGCAGATTCAAGAAGATTGCAACATTGAGTGTTTAGTATTAAGAGATAGACGTCGCGAAGTAGATTTTGTGGAAGATAAAGTTGATATTGAATTGAGGAAAGAGCAGCAGCTTTTACTCAAGAACAGTAAACGTCTGCAGGAAAAAATTGACGAAGCTCTGAATAAACTTCTACTTATGCATGACGCTCATGCTAGGATAAGTGGGGATCTTAAAGATAAAAGGAAAACTATTGAAATTGACGTAAGGCAAACTAAATTGAAGTTGTCTGATGCGTCACTTAAAGTCGATCCAACACGAATACCCCCCAAGTTAGTCGCGTTAAATGCTGCTCCTAACATTATCTTTTTGTTTTTCTAAAATGTCTTTTACATTTAAGCTCAAGGTCTTTAAGAGAATGGGAAGATTTTTCAAAAGAGAATTATGACAGATCGCTGAAGGAGACTGGTGATAGTACCACTCAGCGGTACCAAATCTTCCGCTTAATTGAGGAGATTGCCAACAAATCGACTGCTCAGGCCGAAGCTGTGGACTCAGCTCTTCGTGAGCGAGTGCATGAAATGCAGCAGGCTCTAACCGAACTCAAGTGGCAAAAGAAAAACGTAAGTTGCAAGGTTCACTTGCTATATTTTACCTAGATAAATCCAACTGGACAGGCAACATATCATTAATAATTTTGACAATTTGTTAAAAATTTGTAATCACTATTTGCTAAAATTACCTCACTATTTTTTCTGGTCTATGTCGCAATGAGGAAGCACTAAGACAATCGTTTTCTCAATAAAACAAGAAAATTCTCTGCAACAACTTTTATTCTGAGTGCAGCGATGCTTCTCATAACAATCTTGAAAGCAGCGAAGCTTGCATGCATTTATTTCTTGTACAAGCTACCCATCATAGACAGATTAGCAACTTTATGGAGTTGCGATAAGAATTGTAGGTAACGTAGCATCTTTTTACGAGATGCATTTGGGTTGCTTAAGATCAGAGAATGGAGGGCGAGGTAGATCAGGTTAGCTTCGTTGCCGGAGAAGGCTTAAACTTTGATTTCCAAAACTGCAGCTGTTATGGAAGGCCTTGATTTCCATTCTTATGTATGCTGTATACATTACAAGCAGACACTTTCACCACCTAAGATTGTTACGATGGCAATAAGATGACGAGTGGTCAGCTTCTTTAAGTTCCAAAAGGGATCCCACCCTACTGCTCGATTTTGCTGCCAAATTTCTGCTAGACTTTGAGCCGCCATGAGAAGAAATAAACCTACGTCAAAAATCAGGAAACCTAATTAGCCTTGCAAACGGCACTTTTCCATGCTTGCAATACTTTAAAAAGCGTTTTTTGAATGCCTTTATAAATTTGTCGGTAAAATCATTTACTAGGTTGAAGAAGAGATCGGAGAGCTTTTGAAGCAGCTAGCCCAGCTGGAGCAGGAATTGGACTCGGAAATGCAGACAGCAAAGATTGCTCACACCCGCCTCGAGAATCGTACCTATCGTCCAGGAATGGATTTGTGCCTTGATATACCACAATGCGTCCTAACCAATGAAGTCAGACAGCTTGCAACCTCTCGTGAAACCTTGTTACTCAAGCAACGTCAGTGTAGGTGGGTGATTAGTTTAAGAATGACCACCTTACTAGCCCTGGTCTAGCATTGTACGATAGTCATGAGTTAGGCAAAAAACTCCAATTTTTGAGTCCCTCCAACAAATCAGGGAGTTGTTTGCAAAACCAATGTTGGTTATCTCCTAATCATCCTTAAAAATTAACGATCGGCAAACCCATTTTTCAATGCTTCAATTATATCAAAGTTGCCGCCCACTAGAAGGTTTGTCAGAGTGCCCTTCAAACCTGATTGGTAGATAATCGGAGTCGTTTGTGATCCTGTTGAGCTAAATGACTAATTTGACGTTCACTCCTTCCCTAAACAACTGGAGGAGGAGACCGAATGGTCTTTGTCAAACCTTTGCAGCGTTTGGTTCTCTCATCCTGTTCAGTAAGCTATTGGTCAAAAGCTCTTGTTGTTGACTGGTAAAGAATGCATATATGTAGAAATGCAACTCATTGGTCGGGAGTAAGGTCTAGGTGTTTGCTTTCTTAGTAGAACCGAGGCTTTTATTTAAAGTCATTGGTTAAGAGTTCCGATTAAATCAGAATACAATATGTTTTCATTCCTGTTCCCATTTACTAAAACGCCAGAAGATGCAGAAGTGGACATTACTCTGCCGATTTGACGATAAGTAATTCTATTTTTATCCCAATCATTGATTGGTTGATAACAGTAGTGATTGACGCATCACATAAGCTCGCATCTGATTGGCTGGGTTTTAAATAAGTGATTGGTAGTTCAGCTTTTATGCTTATTAACGACCCATAAAAGGGAGTGGATAGCATTTGCTGCTATTAGTCGACTAATCGTGAGAAGAATAAAGAAATATTTGAAATAATGTGTGGTTTTTTATAATTATGGACTTCCTAAATGGAAGCTTAAGGGCAGATCCTAGCTACCTCGTGTTTATTAAAACGTCTTTGTCCTTTTTTAATGGCTTGATTTCGTTAGGCACCGCCTTGACGGGTTACAACGCCAACGTCAACGGTTGGTAGAGCAAATTTCACTGAAGGAGAATTCTCTAAATCTCGACAGGGAGTGTCTGGAACTGCGGCAAAGGCGGCTTAACGGAAGCGGGCAGTTAAATGACTCTGGTGCCTCAAAGGCTGAAATGTTGGCATCAAACGATACAGACTATTCAAAAACTTGTAGCCCGGACAAAGTAGAGCACCTGGGCATCGTATGTCCTGAACGCCCTTCCTGTAACAAAACCTCTGTCTTATAGGGTAAAATAAGATACTGATGAAATTCTCTACATAGAGTTGATCCTTTCTACCGATTAAGTGCAGTCACACAGAACAACAATAATACTTGAGTTGAGACAAAATATTGACTTCGATTAAAGTCTACCAATTAAGGCACTACAAAGTAATGGAAAGATGATTCAGCAAGAAGGATAAACACGAATAATTGGGGCTGCTCCTATTAAGTGGTGGTCAAAATTCTGAAACTCCACATAAAATCGCTCTCAACGACGTAAAATAAGGACAAAAAACGTTACATATGACGAAGGCTTCAGCATTTTCAAGATGTACTTACACTAAAAGACAATGTTGGAAGTCCACTTCTCTAGCCTTCCAAACATTTTGCATGTTTACAATAAATAATCAGAGATGGCGCACTTCTCTATCTTCTCAGGGAAGAATAGGCGCGTTCCAACTTTAAACAACAGACGAACGTACTACCGCACTACCGCACTAAGAATGAGGTCAGACTGATGGGAAGACGAGATAGGTAAAAGGTGCATGAGCTCCTTCTCGTAGAAGCAAAATATCTGCATTTTAATTCATGATTGTCTCAATTAATGCGATTCACTTTGCATTTTAGGGAAGTATGGACACCGAAACTCAGAGGAGCTGTTTTCTAGCATTCTTAAAAAACAGTGGCTTCATTTAGGTCCGTCACCATGGTAACACCGAAGAAACATTGTAGACCACCGTTGTCATTGAATCAATGCAAGGAATTGATAGGTTTCGCATAAGGCACTAACTTTTCCACTGCAATTCAATTTGTTTCTACATGTGTGAGGCAATAAATTACACTTATGCACCACTACAAAGAGGACTCATGCACGAATACTGCTTTCCTCGTCTTTTATCAAAGAGACATTCATCATTGTTTTAGCAGTCAGGACCAGCAATGTTCTTCGGACGTGTGGTGCCGTACGTTGGTCGCCAGTGTTACTCCCTCGCCAGGAGGAAGCCAGACTGGGTGCTCACCTCACACCCAGCGCTGTTTACAGACACCATAGCAGGTCTATCAACCTTCAAGTATTGAAATAGCTAAAGAAATTAACACTCAACTCCAGATCCTGTAATTATGTGCGCAACCTACGCAATTAGTCTGCTCTTATCAAGAACCTCTAAAGCCGTTATTCATGGGGTCATTAATTTTACGAGTCGTCAACCTATCCTGCCCAGTGCGTATTTGGCCCCGTTTGACGTTAAAGTTGCGGTTTATTAAAACAGATGCATGCTCCACAGGACCGAGCAATGTTGCAATGTTTTGCACATTCGAAGGAAACACTTTTCTCCAATTATTCAAACCAAAAGAATGGTCGTGCTATGCGTAAGACTTTGTTGGTGTGACCACCTGATTTCTGACAGTTACTGTAAGATTTGTCTGGCCCTTGTAGGCTTGGGCTGGCCGTCGGACCATGCTCAGGCCTGATTACGCTATTCTTCTGGGAATCTGTCATCAGTTGCACTTACCACTTTCGTCTATCCGGTGGGAAGTCTCGGGACGCTAAACTATGCTTTGTCGAATTCAGTTCACTTCCCTTTAAATACGTTGCAAGCCAGTTATAGCCACAGAAATACAAAATCCTGTTAAGACCACACATAACTAAAAATAGCTACACTTGAGTAGTTTGAAGTTGGTGTCTTCTTAATGTGACGTGCGTAAAACATTTGATTAGGACTTTATTTAAAAAGTAGGTGTTTGGGTGTAACTTGCGTTTCTGAAACATGAACACCTCTACAGATCCCAGAAGAAAGTACGAGTGTAGCGTCCCGAGGCTTTCCATAGGGTAGCAGAAGGCATTAGTGAGGGTGAATACATAAATGCCGAAGACAAAAGGAGAAATGGGGCCTGAGCGTGGCCCGAAGGCCAGCCCACACGTACAAGGGCCAGACGAATTCCAAAGTGACCGCCAAACGTCGGGTAGTCACATAAACAAAGTATTACAAAGAGGACCAAAACTTTTCGGCTGTGCGAGGGAAAACAATGGGTGAGTGCTCGAGGGGGAAAAATTTACACAAACTAGTTTCTGATGTTCTTTTGCAGAAGGGCGAGATCCAAGGAGTTCCTTTTGCCAGCTGGTGGATGGGTGATTATTTTAAAACAGAAGCTCATCGGACTATGCATCCATGATGCTCATCACGTTCCTTTTTCCTCCCGCAAACATCGACGACCAAATTAAACTACTCAGACATTGGCACGACTTAAGATCCGGCTCTTAAATTCTCATTATTTTTACAAAATTTAGCATGTGTTTGAGTAATGACATCGACTGCTGATCCAACTTGCACGTGTAGTACGGGATTGTGTCGGCGCAACGTCACCCGCACCGGCGTATATCGAATGGTTTAGCCTAAATTCCCCTTCAAGCGGCCCGGAATTCGGTTTATATTGAAAAATATTCTCAACTTTGCTGCAATCCTTTGCAAACTTAATTTTTTACATGAGTAACGGCCAGTTTTGCGGTCACTTTGCGTCCACCGAGTGAGCTGATACTTAGACCCCAACTAATCGTTTCCTTCCTGATTATAAGCAAACAATACAATCTTATGCCTTCCTTTTTCTTATGATTAGCTTAGAGGCCCAAACGTGGTACCTTGTTTATGCAACGATCTGCACGAATGGCCTTCGGGCCAAGCTCAGGTTCCATTTTTCCTGTTGTCTTCGGAATACATAATCATCCTCACATATATCTTCTGCCACCATTCGGGAAGCCTCGGCACGCTACACTGGTGGAAGCGGAAAGCGAACCCGACATTTTCTTTTTAACCACTTCTAGGTGTAAGGTGCTTTTGAAAGCGACATAGTGTAGGGGAAAATCTACTGCCCAACAGACACCAGTACGAACAAGCCGACGAGCAATGGTTCGATCAGATGGTGCACTGGTTGAACACATGCAGATACACCGAAATTGGGTTCCCTTGGTCGGAGTCGAAACCTCTCTTTTCACGACAAGAAGGTTATAATCCAACCAGCAGCCAAGACTGCAAAGGAATTCTACATCTTGTTGGAGAAATCCAGCCTTAATAAGGACATTTTGGCGTTGTGTACTGGCAATCATGAGCTATGCATGCGCAGATGGAAGTCTGACTCTACCGAAGTGCAGTAGATGAAGGTAAAGGCGAAAAAGAGACGTGAATTGGAGGAGGTGCATTGACCTTGGTGACGGAGAATCCCTGAATCCTTCACAACGAAATGATTTAGACGGACGTCTGCACTTGGTTTCACCTTCTTCCCGTGTTCCACAAACGAGTTATTAACAACTGAAGCGACTCCACCGTGAACTGTCTAGAAAAGTTTCGTGTCGAAATTTCGCATACAAAATCCG